AAAGGTTTCATTCCGAAAATTGCCATTTTGGAAGGCTCGCGTACACCCCCCCCCGTCCCCAAGAGAGCCGTTTGCGCCTGGACAGGGAGCCAGATGGATTGCCACTCTGGCACGGTTCCGAAGTGGAAATCCATCTGGGACCTCCTGACGCTGAGCGGGAGAGCTCAGCCGCAAAAACAAATTCCCCAATGAGAGATTTCATATGGAAGATTGCCATAAACACCCCCCCATCCCCGAGAGAGCCGTTTTGCGCTGGGGGGGTCCAATGGAGCGGTTCCGGGGCGGAAATCCATCTGGGACCTCCCGACGCTGAGCGGGAAAGCTCAGCCGCGAAAAACAAATTCCCGAATGAGAGATTTCATATGGAACATTGCCATAAACACCCCCCCATCCCCGAGAGCGCCGTTTTGCGCTGGGAGAAAGTTCCAAATTGATTCTCACACTGGAACGGTTCCGGGGTGAAAATCCATCTGGGACCTCCCGACGCTGAGCGGGAAGGCCCAGCCGCGAAAAACAAATTCCACAATGAGAGATTTCATATGGAAGATTGTCACTTTGGGTGCTCGGGTAAAACCCCCCCCCATCCCCGAGAGAGCCGTTTTGCGCTGGGGGGGGGCCCACATGGAATTTCACTCTGGAACGGTTCCACGGTGAAAATCCATCTCCGACCTCCCGACGCTGAGCTCAGCCGCGAAAGACAGGTTCCCCAATGCGAGATTTCACATGGACAATTACCATTTTGGGGGCTCGGATACACCCCCCCATCCCCGAGAGAGCCGTTTTTGCGCTGGGGGGGAGGGGGGGGCAGATGGATTTCCAACCTGGAACGGTTCCGGGGTGAAAATCCATTTGAAACCTCCCGACGCTGAGCGGGAGGGCCCAGCCGCGAAAAATAAGCTCTCCAATCAGATATTTCATGTGGAGAATTGCCATGTTGGGGCTCGCGCACCCCCCCTCCATCCCCGAGAGAGCTGTTTTGCGCTGGGAGAAGGGGCCCAAATGGATTTTCACTCTGGAACGGTGCCGGGGTGAAAAATCCATCTCCGACCTCCCGACGCTGAGCGGGGGGGCCCGGCCGCGAAAAACGAGCTCTCAAATAAGACGTCTCATTTGAAAGATTGCCAATTTGGGGGCTCGGGTGCAGCCCCTCCCATCTCCGTGAGCGCCGTTTTGCGCTGGGAGAGGGTTCCAAATTGATTCTCACACTGGAACGGTTCCGGGGTGAAAATCCATCTGGGACCTCTCGACGCTGAGCGGGAAGGCCCAGCCGCGAAAAACAAGCTCCCAAATCAAAGATTTCATTTGAAAAATGGCCATTTTGGAAGGCTCGCGTACACCCCCCCCGTCCCCAAGAGAGCCGTTTTGCGCTTGGACAGGGTGCCAGATGGATTGCCACTCTGGCACGGTTCCGGAGTGGAAATCCATCTGGGACCTCCCGACGCTAAGCGGGAGGGCCCAGCCGCGAAAAACAAGCTCCCTCTCTCTCTATTAAAAATGAAAGGGAAATTGCCATTTTGGGAACTTGGGTGCATTTCCTTCCCCCTGTCCCAGACAGCGCCGCTTTGCGCTGGGAAAAGCTTCCAAATGGAATTTCAGCTTGGAACGGTTCCGGAATGAAAATCCATCTGGGACCTCCCGACGCTGAGCGGGAGGGAGGGCCCAGCCGCGAAAAACAAACTCCCGAATCATGTACGTATTCCGGAAAATGACAATTTTGGGGACTCGGGTACGCTCGCCCCCCCATCCCCGAGAGAACCGTTTTGCGCTGGGAAAGGGTCCCATATTGATTTTCATTATGGTCCGGTTCCGGGGTGAAAATCCATCTGGGACCTCCCTGTGGTACGGGAGATTATCGCTGATAATGCTTTCTCGCACTCTGCGCGGCAGAGATCGTAGCTCAGTTGGCCAAGGGCCCGATTTTGAAAGAAAGTGGTTCCGGCAGAGCGGGCATGAGAGACAGAGCGGAAGCGAGGCGGAAGAGGGCGAGAGTCTCCTGGAATCGCACACCTCCTGCACGGTGCGCAGGCGCACGAGGCTGAGGCGCCAGAGCAGCCGGGCATATATGCCTGGCTCTTCATTCGGCGGAGTGCCAGGCGTGCTGGCAGAAGGCGAGCAAACGGCTCGACGCGGCTTGCATTTGCAGGCAGCCCCTTGGGCACTTAAGCGGATGCGCTACACACGACCTGCAGGGTGTTCTCAGCCCTCAGCGCCGCTGGCGCGCTAATCAGAACCAAGCAAGACTAGCAATGACAAGGGGTCGATCGCGAAGCGACAGAACCCCAAAAAACTATCTTATCGAGATGTAGTCGGAATGGGTGCGATCGTTAAAACATCTTCGAGACTTGTGCACACTGAATGAAACTTCTCTAAATGCGGATCACGTGTAAATCTCTAGCCGGGCGTGAATACGGAGCAGCAATGCGGATTTGCATGAATCTCTAGCTGGGTGTGAAAATAAAGCAGCAATGCGGACTTACGTGTAAAGAGGCGAGTGAGAGAACTGAGCAGCACAATGCGGACTTATGTGGGCGGGGTCGCAATCGCGACCGTCTTTAGCAACAGCAGCAGAACATCTGCTGGTTCGACCAGCCAACCTGCCGTCCGGACACCAAGCGGGGTCAATCTTTCCTTCTTGGGCTTTTTTGGTTTGTCCATCAGGTCAGGTCCGCGCCTGTAGTCTCTGCCGGTGAGCCCCCTCCCATGGCCCATGGGATAATTCATCGCGCGTCCGGGGAAGTTCGTGAAATCGGGACTGCTGTGCCTGTGGAACCGGAGAAGCCTTGACGAGTGCTTCTTGCAGGTCTTGCAGGACATGTAGACGCCATGCGGGCCATGCCCGATTCTGAAATCATGGCGGGGGGCGGCGGTGACGCAGTTGAGCATCTCGTTCGACGATGCCGTAAGTGAGGAACCGTTCCGCGAAACCAAACTCGCAGATGCTGAACTCGATGAAATCGATGCGGTGACTATGCTTGGTGAGGTAGGGGCTGAACCCGAAATCTGAGATCTCGCTGACCTCAATCGTGCTGATGTTGCGGTAGGTGGTGCGCTGGCAGGCGGTGGTTCTGGCGGCAGCAGTGGCGGCGGTGGTGCTAACGTCGGCGGCTGCGATGGGCTATCCGAAAGATACGCCTGAAGCCGATGCCGATGAACTCGATGCCTGCGCACTGCTGTGTCCATCCGAGGGGTGAGTCGTGATGCCGCCGTCGCAATCGCGATCCTCGGGGATTGCAGCTGGGATGTTACGGTGCCGGCCGAGCAAGCGGCCGCCCCAGCCGGGATGCTCGCCGATTGCCTTCGCCTCGGCGACGTGCTCCTCGGTGGCGATCATGCTGTTCTGCCTCATGATCGCCTACAGCGCCACGAAGATGCCGAAACCGGCAATCATGCCGAGGACTCGCGTGAACGTCAGCAGGCAGATGTAGAAGCTGTAGTCCGGCACCGTCAGCGTAAGCGTAGGCTGCCCCTTGACCTTGCCGAGGCATGTATACAGGACTGAGGCGAGCACGGCGGCACGCGGCTGCCGGGCCCCGTAACTGTGCTTGCGGGCCCCGAAGAATGCCAGCAGGGCGCCGGCTCCCATCGCCTTGGTCAAGGCGTCCGCGACCATGGCCGAGGTCGGGATCCAGCTGAGCTTGAGTGCGCTGTTGGGGTGCACGGCCTCCTTGATCATGCAGCAACGATGCGGAATCGCTTGTCGGCAGACTGGCCCGCATCAGAAGCGATGTGCGTCACGAGCCCCTTGCTGTCACTGTAGATCTCTCCAGGGAGCTTGTCGGCGAGGACGTCGATCTGCTTGAGCGCCATCTTGGGCTTGTAGGCCTCGGTCAGCAGCTGGCGGAACCAGATGTTGGTCTCCGATCCCTCGAGGGTCGCGTAGCCTTCGGCAGCGAGGGTCGACTTCACCGACCTCTTGACCGTGCCCGAGTGCCAGGCCACGGGTAGGCAAAGGTCGTAGCGGCCGCCGACGACATCGCGCGGGCGGTGAGTGAGCTCCATCACCATGCCCCACTGGCTCTTGACCCCGTCCACGTTGGCGAACGCAGCATCGCTGAAGCACGCGGTGGTGGCCGTCATCAGATCGACGAGCCAGCGCTTCAGCACGATCGCGAAGTTCGCGGTCGAATGCACGTAGGCGACGGTATTGTTCAAGGTCTTCGCGTCGGCCACGGTGGCGACGTTGGTGCGGCGGGCTTCCCACTCACCGGGCAAGCGATGTCCACCCGGGTCTGGACTGCTAGCGATAGCAGCTGCCCGAGCTCGTGGCGGTAGCTCGCCACCTCCGTGGCGGTGAGCTGATCCTCGGCATTGCGGCCCTTCGGGGCCTTCAGGTCGATGTAGTCCCGAGACGTTTGCGTCCCCTACAGGGGGACATGTTAGGAAATACTCAAAAAATACTCCCGCCTCACCCTTGCCAACATACTCCCCAAGTACTCTTTTTTTACTCGTTGCTCGGAAGCTTTCGATTGTAGTGCGTGCGATGCGTATTATTTTACGGCAGTGTGATAAGTTATGCTATGTTGTGCTGCGCTACGCCATCATTGGTACTGTTGCGTCGTGCTGTGTCTTTGAATTCACAGATATACTTCGCTATGAATTCCATTGCGTCGTTTCTATTGTGTTGCTATGGCGCGCTATTCGATGCTATGCCATGACCCCCCAGCAAGGCCCCACGGGACGAATTACGGCAGCTCTTTCCCCAGAGTCTGGATGGGGCCCCAAAGAGGCCGTCTAAGGTCTAGGCGCCAAGAGCCCCCTCAAGGTCTCCAAGGGCAGCGTTGACGGGAAACCAGGGTCACCAAGGGCGCCAGAGCCCCCCCTAAGGTCTCCAAGGGCGCCCTCCTGAGGTTCCCAGGGGCGCCAGAGCCATTTGTGCTGCAGCGGCGAGTGCGGCCATGACCGTGTACGCAAGTTTGATTTTCTTCATATCATCCATATTTTGTGCGCGCGGCCTCGCGCGCCACTCCATATTAACACCATCAGTTGCTCCGTGGGAGCGCATGGATGGCGCGCCTCTCCACGGCCTGGCGGTTGTCCCTTTCCAGATCCCTGGCGCTGGAGTCCACGTGCCTGTCCATGCGAATAGTTCGTCCAGCCAGAATAAGAAACGGAGGTTGGACGAGACAAGCATCAGCCCGAGAATGCTTCAGGATATAGTTCAGATGTCGCCCGTGCCCTTCGTCCTTAGCCCGATCTACAAGCACGTGGACGCTTTCATCGGGGCAGTGCACACAAATGGCAAGTATGATGTTCCTCATGGCGATGCGGTGTATACGGTTGCCAAGCGCATGTTCGACGATTCTGCGTCGTTTCAAATGATGACCAAAACGAGCGAGGCGGAGCTGGCAGGTTCATCTCGCATGAAGACGGTCAAGATCACCAGAAAGTTGGCGGAATTTGCAATTGTATATGACAGACTTCGCCGCCATAGCTTAGAGAAGTCTTTGGTATCCTGCGACAGGGTGAAGCCACTTTACTATATAGAGTGCGAGTTTTACGACGAGAGTCCGATGCCGTTCAAACTCAGAGATTGCAGTTTCAACAACCATATTGAGCTACTTCAGGACTTCGCTGCAGTGTTGAACCCCAAGTGCGTCAAGGATGGTGTCGTGATTCCTTCGGAGCTCCCAGCGTTCATCCAGCAAAGTCGCACTGAAGCGTCAATTGCCAAGATGCTCCAAGTTGATTCTCGATATGCATGCTTGTTGAAGGTAGAGAGCGGCGGTGCCAAGCGATACATCTTCGTGCATTCCTCTACCCTCAACCACTTGGTAGTAATTGATCGCAACACGGGCGAGGCCACTCGCGGGGCCCTCAGATTGCGCTGGTCAGTGAGTTTGGCGCACAAGCTGCATGAACAACGGGTTCGTCTCGTCACGACCGACCAGGGTGGGGGTTGCATCAAGTGCGAACGTGGCATTGCAGAAAAAGACAGACAAGGCTGGCAGCACCTACACCTGCACTGCGAAGTTCACATCACCAGCTTGGTGCACAAGAACTCGTTCAAGCTTGTCACAGAGAATGTTACTGGGATGGTGAGGTGCGCGCTGTCACTCAAGCTGGCGGGACACATGGGTTCATTTCGACAAGTTCTTCGCGAGGTCATCGGGAGCATGATTCTGTTCAAAGTTGGAGCTCCTCCGCCAGAGGCATTTTTCTACAGGAGGATGGCGCTCAGGCTGTTGAGCTCATCGGGCTCGCTCGTCATCCAGAAGTTCGTTGCCTTGAACAAGTTTCCGAATGGCGATTGGAGGAATCGATCCAACGTGGAGGTGTATGTACCAGCGTTTCCTGACGGTGTCGACCTCGACGCGCACAAGGCGAAGTACAAGACATCAGTGACCGAAGGTTAGTTGTTCGTATTCGCGTCCTCTGCTTTTAAGCTGTACCCGCGGGACAAGTGGACGGGTGCAGACGCGTGCATCGACCAATTCTTGTCACAGGAGCTATGTCACGGGCTTCTGACTAAGGCGTACCCCATCTGGGCGAAGAGCATGGGCGCGAAGGCTTCTAGCAATGCATCGGCGGCGATGCGCGCCGCCCCGCACGCCGAAGTACCGCTGCTCATGCTGCCCTCTGGCGATGGTGGAGACGGCGACGGCGAAGCTGGCGAGGGCGAAGGTGACCCTGCAAACGTCGGGGATGACAGTGGGGGTGCCGGCGGAGATCGACGCGACGAGGACTTGCGCCAGCAGCCAGTGTGCCAGTTCAGGGCAGAGGAAAACGCGAAGGACAGGCAAGTCGGCATCAATTGGGTCTTGAGCAAGCCGATGACACCGCTTATCATCATGAGGTTGACGATGGTTCCACTATCCGACATCATGGGCCGCCTTCTGGACCTGGGGAGTCCAAAATGGGAAAGGGAGCAGCGGGTTCGCGAGTTGGCCTCTGCATCGAATGCTGGACCTCTGGCTGGAAACATTACTACTGGCAGGGACTATCCAATTGTGGTCGCCGCCGAGGGGACGATAGAGGACAAGTTTTTCGAGAAGCTAGAAACGCTACTCACCCAACCTGCCATGTGGTCACTCGTTTTGGAGGAGGAGTGCACGGAGCAGACGAATGCGCTAGCGTTCAAGATGTTATCTCGCGCTGGGTGCTTGGTGGCAGAGCTCGTGCGGGAATTGCAGAAGTACCCCTACCGTTTGTTCTTGGTACTGCACCACCCGCACATGGCCGCGACGATCGAGTCGGAGAGCGAGCGCGTCCTCGGCAAGTTCACGAAGCAGTTCCTGCAAGACAACCCCGACCTCAGCGCAGACGACGCCAGGATGCGCCTGCTGTCGATCGCTGCCATGGCGAAGCTGGATATCTCCCACATCGAAGCCCTCCACGCCAGCATTCGGCGCCTCGTGGTCGCTGCGAGCCACCAGACCCACACCATAGAGATCGCTGCCGCCTCGGCGGAGTGGGTTGCCTCCCGCTGCAGGTCGCGGGCGAAAAACTCTGCAGGCCTTACTCGGACGACCTTCGTGGACGCAGACAGCGCAGAGCCAGCGGAGGACGATGAGCCTCGCAAGCCTCGGGGAGGCGGCGGCGCCTGGAGAGCTTTCGTTGCCATGAGCGAGCCTGGGGTTTTCAAGGATTTCGCGCAGCTGGCGGTGCAATACCGACAACTCGACGCCGACCAGAAGGAGAAGCACATCACGGCTGGACGCGCTGCGACGGCCGCGCACCGAGAGCATCCAGATGTCAGCTCATTCGGGAACAACTCGAAGCAAGAGGCACGACTGATTGCCGCAGAGCGTCGGGCCCAACTCACACTTCAATTGGGCAGCCTTGCGAGTAGCGAGGGCCCGTCGATGGAGGTTGTTGCAGCGAACCAGATCGTCGCCACGCAGGTTGACAACGCATCTGCGCTGGCTGCTGCTAGATCCGCAACGTACAACATTGGCAGGATGAAGGCCAAGGACTGCAGGGATAAGGTCTCCAAGTTGAAGACCTTCGCGGTGGACGAGGCAGCTCTTCGACTCGCTGTCGGCGACGTCCCTCCTCTCGCAGCTGTCGCTGAAGATCTTCAGCGCCTACCTGGGCGAGCGTGCTCCGACCTGGAGTTCGTCCCCGACATCGGCTCGACGGCTGCGAAGGCCACCTGCGCGTCGCAGACGACGCGAAGTTCGGGAGGCACCTCGAATACGGCAGCTCTGACGGCGAGTTGGTACCGTCGTCACAACATCGTGTGCCATGACGATTGCGAGAGGATTGCAGACCAGCCGAAGGACTTCAACAAGCAGATGCGTTGCTGGAAGTTCGGGCGGTGTATTTGCAACGGCGAGGGCAAGAAACTCTACTCTATTCGCAAGGCACTGCTACGCGTGATGAAGAAGGCTTTTCCGCGCAAGTCGACACAGTTTCCTTTACTGGTGAATGGGAGTATCTTCGCGGCGATCTTTCCGCCTCTACCTGCCGATCTAGTCGAGCTCGGCGCGGAGCGAGATTGGTTGGAAACCGATGAGTTGCTCGTGGTCCACGTGGGCGTCCAGTACCTGAAGCCCTACAGGCCGACGTACCACAAGATGCGCCTGGAGCGGGTTCGCGATGACGGCATTTGGGACTTGCAGGCTTGAGGGAAGGGTGCTTAAAGCGCAAGCTTGAGCCTCGGATGAGGTCGACGAGGGCAAGGAGGGGGATGAGGGGCGGGACAAGGGATGAACGGCGGGGGGAGATGGCGGAGGTCGTTGAGGTGGCGAGGGGGAATGGAGGAAGGGTGAGAAGGGGTGAGCGTGGAGGGGGCGGGGAGAATGGTTTGTGGAAGGGGAGGGCGAGATGGGACGAGGACACGGCGGGGGAGAATAGCTGGGGTGGGGAGGGGCGATGCCTTGCCAGTCCCTTTCGAGCTACCCCCTGCCCGTCCCCTTTGAGCTACCCCCGCTGCCCCTGCCCATCCTGGGGGATGCCTTTACAGTTTCTGGGGTGCGCGGTACGTGGGCCATCCCATCCATTGTTGTTCAGGGTCTCTCTGTGCCCATGCGACGTCTTCGGTTTTGCGTGGGGGGGGGGCATGCTGTTGTAACTAACTGTATGCATGTATATATATATATATATATATATATATGTATGTCTGTATGCCTGTATGTATGTACGGCGGCCTACGGCCTATCCCGCCACAGTTAAAGGTTTCCTGAGTGTTCGTCGGGACATCGCGGGATGCCTCTCGGATGCATATTGGAGGAAGTGTTGAGGCTCATCGGAAGCCATCTGGGGGCTTCAATGGGGTTGCCCTTACGCTTCTCGGGAGGGGGGTCTTAGACGCCTCTCGGGGCTCAGTGGGGGAAGGGGGCAGGGCCTTTCGGGCGAAGGGCTCGAGTTGTAGGTTTGCGAGTCCCTTCCTGATGTCTTCTTGGGGCTCTCCTGGGCCGCCCTGGGCGCCTCTCGGGCCGTTGCGGGGTCAGTTTGGGCCGTGTCGGCGCTTTCTGAGGGCCCCCTTTGCTGGGCCGTCTCGGGGCGGTCTCGGGGCCCCAGTGGGGTCGTCCTCAAGCATCGCAAACCCGAAGAGGCGGCAACGTGGAACTCCTTGGACACATTAGGAACATCATTGGTTGTTGTGTTTTAGGCCCTCTGGGGGTCACTTGGAGCGCCCTTGGTGCTGCTTAGGAGCCTCCTGGCCGTATTGGGGCCATCTTGGGCGTCTTGGGGAGCATTTAAGGCATCGCGGGCGCTGCTTTGGCCCCTCAGGGCCCGCTTTGGGGGGGGGTGGGGGCTCCTCGCAAATGCAGACTTACGCGGGGCAGCCCGAGACGCCATGGCCCATTGCCCATTGCCCGTTGCCCATTGCGCATTGCGCATTGCCCATCGCCAATCGCCCATTGCCCATTGCCCATTGCCCATTGCCCATTGCCCACTGCCCACTGCCCACTGCCCATTGCCCATTGCCCATTGCCCATTGCCCATTGCCCATCGCCCATTGCCCATTGCCCATTGCCCATTGCCGATTGCCCATTGCCCATTGCACATTGCCCATTGCCCATTGCCAATTGCCCGTTGCCCATTGCCCATTGCCCATTGCCCATTGTCCATTGTCCATTGCTCATTGCCAATTGCCCATTGCCCATTGCCCATTGCCCATTGCCCAGTGCCCATTGCCCACTGCCAACTGCCCACTGCCCATTGCAAACTGCCCATTGCCCATTGCCCATTGCCCATTGCCCGTTGCCCATTGCCCATTGCCCATTGCCCATTGCCCATTGCCCAGTGCCCAGTGCCCAGTGCCCAGTGCCCAGTGCCCAGTGCCCAGTGCCCAGTACCCAGTGCCCAGTGCCCAGTGCCAAGTGTTCAGTGCCCAGTGCCCAGTGCCCAGTGCCCAGTGCCCATTGCCCAGTGCCCATTGCCCATTGCCCATTGCCCATTGCCCAGTGCCCACTGCCCATTGCACACTCCCAATATTGCACACTCCCCATTGCCCATCGCCCATTGCCCATGGCCCCTTGTCCATTGCACACTCCCCATTGCCCATTGCCCATTGCCCATTCCCCATTGCCCATTGCCCATTGCCCACTGCCCATTGCCCATGGCCCATGGCTCATGGCTCATGGCTCATTGCCCATTGCCCATGGCCCATTGCCCATTGCCCATGGCCCATGGCCCATGGCCCATGGCCCATGGCCTATGGCCCATCGCCCATCGCACATCGCCCATCGCCCATCGCCCATTGCCCATTGCCCATTGCCCATTGCTCATTGCCCCATTGCCCCATTGCCCATTGCCCATTGCCCATTGCCCAATGCCCATTGCCCATTGCCCGTTGCCCATTGCCCATTGCCCATTGCCCATCGCCCATTGCCCATTGCACATTGCTCAGTGCCCATTGCCCTTGCACATTGCCCATTGCCCATTGCCCATTGCCCATTGCCCATTGCCCATTGCCATTGCCCATGCCCATTGCCCTTGGCCCATTGCCCATGCCCATATTGCCCATTGCCATGGCCCATTGCCCATTGCCCAGTGCCCATTGGCCATTGCCATTGCCCATTGCCCATTGCCCATTGCCCATTGCCCATTGCCCATCGCCATTGCATTGCCATTGGCCCATTGCCCATTGCCCATGCCCCCATTGCCCATTGCCCATTGCCATTGCCCACTGCCCACTGCCCACTTGCCCACGCCCACTGCCACTGCCACTGCCCACTGCCCACTGCCCATGCCCCTTGCCCATTGCCCGTTGCCCATTGCCCATTGCCCATGCAGCCATGCCCATAGCCTAGCCCATGCCATAGCCAATTGCCCATTGCCCATTGCCCATTGCCATTGCCCATGGCCCAATGGCCCATTGCCCATTGCCCATTGCCCATTGCCCATTGCCCATTGCCCAGCCCAGTCCCCAGTGCCAGTGCCCAGTGCCCAGTGCCCAGTGCCCAGTGCCCAGTGCCCAGTGCCCAGTGCCCAGTGCCCAGTGTGCCCAGCGCCCAGTGCCCAGTGCCCAGTGCCCAGTGCCCAGTGCCCAGTGCCCAGTGCCCAGTGCCCAGTGCCCAGTGCCCAGTGCCCAGTGCCCAGTGCCCAGTGCCCAGTGCCCATTGCCCATTGCCCATTGCCCATTGCCCATTGCCCATTGCCCATTGCCCATTGCCCATTGCACACTCCCCATTGCCCATTGCCCATTCCCCATTGCCCATTGCCCATAGTCCATAGCCCATTGCCCATGGCCCATGGACCATGGCCCATGGCCCATGGCCCATGGCCCATGGCCCATGGCCCATGGCCTATTGCCCATTGCCCATTGCCCATTGCACATCGCCCATCGCCCATCGCCCATTGCCCATTGCCAATTGCCCATTGCCTATTGCCCATTGCCCATTGCCCATTGCCCATTGCCCATTGCTCAGTGCCCATTGCCCATTGCCCATTGCCCATTGCCCATTGCCCATTGCCCATTGCCCATTGCCCATTGCCCATTGCCCATTGCCCATTGCCCATTGCCCGTTGCCCATTGCCCGTTGCCCGTTGCACGTTGCCCGTTGCCCGTTGCCCATGGCCCATGGCCCATGGCCCATGGCCCATGGCCCATGGCACATTGCCCAGTGCCCAGTGCCCAGTGCCCAGTGCCTAGTGCCTAGTGCCCAGTGCCCAGTGCCAAGTGCCCAGTGCCCAGTGCCCAGTGCCCAGTGCCCAGTGCCCATGCCCATTGCCCATTGCCCATTGCCCATTGCCCATTGCCCATTGCCCATTGCATTGCCCATTGCCCGTAGCGAGGAAGCTGTGCATTTTTCAGTGGGGCGCTTCAATTTCCGAGAGTACGCTCCTGCGGCATGCGGCGGCATTTCCCCCGATGTCGTGAGATCTCGCCCGCAATTAGAAGAATTTGGGCACCGTGCCACCGCGCATTTAATGTAATCGCGTTATTCTGCGTCGACCACCATGCGACCTTTTAGGCAAGCCAGCAAATCAATGCTGCGCGCGCATTCCCCCCCCCCGTCCCATCCCCCCTCCACGAATGCCTCGTCTGTGTGCGTACATGTAATTTTACATTCATATATGAGTACACCTATATATATACATATATATATACATATATATATAAATATGTATATATCGTATCCGATATAGCGGGGAGGCAGGGTGGACGTCGTGCGAAGGGGTGATTGATGGGCCACGGGTTGGTTTAAACCGGTGCCGCGCGGCGGCTTTTCGCCGGGGGAATTCTTTTGTTTTGGTCGCCCACCAAGGGAAAAAAAAACGCGTTTTCCTTTGCGTCGCCCCCCTCCCCGAAGGCTGAGAGCACGTGCATGGTCGAGCGCCAGGTCGCGGAGTTTCTGGGGACCGAGAGGACGTATCATTGCCAGTTTCTCCAGCTGCTGGAGCGGGAGCGGCGCGTGGGCGAGTTGGACCCGCAGTGCGTGTCGGCCAAGATGTTGCCAGATGGGCGCGAGTTACTCCTGTGGAAGCCCACTCGACGTAGGCCTGCTCCGCCGTTGCTGGACGGCGACGGCGACGACGACCCCAATGAGTCCGAGCCGTCCGAGGGCGCTGGCGAGGATGAGCAGGGCGAGGGTGAAGAGGAGCTTGTCTTGACTTTATTCGGGCGCAAAGACTTCGGGCGGGGCGCGCACGGCCACGATGCGACGCGATTAACGGGCAGACCGTAACAACACACTACGAGTAGGCCGCACGAGCGAACCCAGCGACACAACACTAGGACCTAGGAGTCTGACGCGCACAAAGACAACTGAGCGACACACCGCACAGGGTACACGTTATTGGAGGGCGGGGAGAGGGGGCATATAAACGGGCATCGTTTATGGGGCGTGCCAGGGGGGCCCACTACACTACGGCGAATGTCAGCTTCAACGTCTTACCCATCCCATGCCCCCTCCACGCAGCGCATTGCTGCATTGCCCCTGTCTGGTCCCCCCCCCGCGGCATCGCTAGATCGGCCCTCTTGTCGTCTCCGTGGCTGGCCGCGGCGATGACGGGGGAAGCTCTGACCTCGCGAGACGTTGGGGGTGGGGCGCTCGGGGGCCATGCAGCGATGCGCCGCCATGATTGTCAAGCTTGCGCCCCGTCCTGATGAGGAGGGCTCAGACGACAGCGGACACGGCGAAGGAGGTGATGACGATCAACACGATGAGGACAG